ACTCTGATTTGCTACGGTTGAAAAAGGTTTTGGGCCTCTGGAAGCAAATCTTGGAGCTATTCATGGGAAGGGAGGTCCTGAAAAATAGGTGTGCGGGAGGAGCAAGGCAGCCGAGGTTCTGTCTTTCCGCCATCGGTTGCAACTGGGGCTAAAGCATGGTAGCAGAAACATCCTACCTTTTCGTTCTCCTCTTAACAACGGGTGATGAAAATGAAAGAGTGAATGCTCGACCTGGTGTGGGAATTTGCAGGAGCTAAAACGTAGGCTGGAATAGAGAGTGGTGTCCTGCTTGCTTTAGGATTTTTTAGGATGCCAGGTTTTTAAGCGTTGTGCCAATTCTGGATCTTGTTGTTGTACAGGGGCTCAAAAACTTCATCAGTGTTGACAAAAACATTGTTGTAACTGTTCAGTCTTGCAAATGGAAAATTACATCGTGTCCTGTGCAGATTGGCCTAGCTTCATAGATGCATGTCTAATGTTAGAAAGTCTTGATAATTTCCTCTTTTTCAGTGAACAGTTTCATCAGTAGTTAGGGGTGGGGTGGAAAGTCGTCATCTTCAGATGACAGAACTACTTCCTTTGTTTACAAAATAAAAATAATTCCCCCCCCCCCGATAAAGCTAGACTGTTCTCAGTAACAAATTCTCTGTGTTGGACAGTTACGTGGTTTTATGCTAGTTAAAGCATTTCATTATTTAGCCTAGTGTTTCTTTTCATTTTGTCTGTCTTAAAATCCTTGCCAGTAGGGATAGGACATGACTGAGGGGTGGATGTTGCTGTGCTTGGAGAATGGCATTGACGTTCTAGAAGGGAGTGAGGGAAGGGATAGATATGTGTTGCTTTTTGGAAAGTGGATTCTCAGTTGGCTGGTAAAGTCGGTATGTGAATGGAAATTCATGGCTTCAGAACTGTATGCTTGCATCCCATTGAATTTTGGTTTTAGTTTTTCTTTCTCACAACTATGATACTACACTTCAGCATCGCTTTCTGAGAGCTTTCTTCTATAGGATTTTACTGAAAGAATTGTCATTGGCAGGGTTTTCTCTACAAGTTTCCATGTTGTCCTGGTGAGTAGTCAGTGTCAGTTAGAGCTGGCTGTCATTGCTTGTTGTTTGACTTGTCTGCTGCTATTTCATAAATATTGTTTGCTTTTTTTTCTATTTACTCACTATGTAGGTATTTAGGAACAGCTTGTCAGCAGTTTATACTGTGAGCTGTTGACATTGAAAAATAGAAGCAAGAAATAGTCTTGCCTCACCTGTGAGGTTTAATTGCATCTTCCTTTGCTTCCAAAAAACGTTCCTAAATATCCCATTGTATTTTGCACTTAGAATACTGTAATTTTTATGTGTTTTTTTTTTACTGCTGTCTTGATTGCTGTATGTTAGAACCCAAAGACTTTTTTTTTGTCTGAAAGGAGGGAGTTTGTAACACCAACCTTCAATAGTGTATTGCTGTTCAGAACAAAATATAAACATTTGCTCTGAAGTATTTAGGATAATTGTCTGGACCTGCCAAATGGGGTCTAACGGAACGTCTGCTATGAAAGTTGGTGGCCTGGTTGTCTTAGGAGCGATGTGAAGGAACAAGGCCTTCTTGATATCATACTATCCTCTGATCTCTAGATTAATGGCTGAAATTTTATGAATCATAGAATCATAGAATCATTAAGGTTGGAAGAGACCTCCAAGATCATCGAGTCCAACCATCAACCCAACAACACCATGCCCACTAAACCATGTCCCTAAGCGCCTCATCTACCCGTTTTTTAAATACTTCCAGGGATGGTGACTCAACCACTTCCCTGGGCAGCCTGTTCCAATGTTTAACTACTCTTTCAGTAAAGAAATTTTTCCTCACATCCAATCTAAACCTCCCCTGGCGCAACTTGAGGCCATTTCCTCTCGTCCTTTCGCCAGTTACTTGGGAGAAGAGACCGACACCCACCTCGCTACAACCTCCTTTCAGGTAGTTGTAGAGAGCAATGAGGTCTCCCCTCAGCCTCCTTTTCTCCAGGCTAAACAACCCCAGCTCCCTCAGCCGCTCCTCATAAGGCTTGTTCTCCAGACCCCTCACCAGCCTCGTTGCCCTTCTCTGGACACGTTCCAACATCTCAACATCCTTCTTGTAGTGAGGGGCCCAAAACTGAACACAGTATTCGAGGTGCGGCCGCACCAGTGCCGAGTACAGGGGCACGATCACTTCCCTGCTCCTGCTGGCCACACTATTTCTGATACAGGCCAGGATGCCGTTGGCCTTCTTGGCCGCCTGGGCAAGAATGGAGCATGATCTTTTTTTAAAAACGGTCACTGATCACTTATTTATTTTTACAGCTATAGTTCTACTGAACCATTATTTAACTTTGGTTATTTTTTACATAGATTGTCCTCAACATATCCTTACAGGCAAAACTGTCATGCAGAATCTTTTATGGCAAGCATGGCAGAGAACAGTTTTAGGATTGAAGGGAGTATTTGCATTATAGAGGTACTTGACTATGCATTGACATAACTTCTCTGTTTAGTGTTGTGGAGAAGTTTGAACTGTTGCTCTTAGTATGTTGTGGATAAATGCTTGTTCTGTGACTAAATAGAGAACTCTAGTCTGGTAATCCAACACCTTCCTTGAGCTCTAACATTTATTAGAAAAAAAAATTAAAAAGGAGTTAGTCAATGATTTTCTGCTATAAATTCCTTTGCATTCAAGAGCACACTAGAAGAAAACTGTTTAAGAGAACTTCGCCATGCTGTTGATTACTTGCTGCTCTCATTGGTTGGCTGCTAATTGAATGCATGTTGTTTATTTTTACTAACACCCCTAGAAGCCCTCAGGGAATATTGAGTGTCACAGAGTGATAAAACTAATATTTACTGAGCCCTTAAAACAAGAAGGGAGTGGTTGCTTATTTAATGGGGATCTAAATTAGTGTGTTGGAGAACACAGAATGCTATGATATAGTCAGATGATATTTTAATCTGTACTCTGGGTACTGGTTACTTTCCCGAGAAGAAAAATTTCAAGAAGACTGTATGGTGTATTCCTGCAATGTTCTTATTCTTATCTACATCTTTAAGGTCATGATAGATTAAAAATAACGTCTTTGTAATTTAGACATGCTAACTATTGTGATTAAAAGAATCAGTTCTACCAATTCTACTACAGTCTAAATCTGTATTGCATTTTATTTTGTGCATGTTGTTAATATTGCTGTCACATAGCTGTAGGCAGAAGAATCTTCTCACGATTCATCCTCTGTGTTCTTCACCCTTTCCACAGTGATATAAATATATAAGCATACTCATGCTATTTCTAGTTTACTTGCTTTTTTCCCTTATTTATTTATTTTTAATCCTCTCGGGGCTTGAGTTCAGTGAAGTAAATGAAAATGTTGCCATAGTCTTTAATTGATTTTTTGGATTACTTCCTAAACATATCTTCTGATATTACAATATCATTTATTATGTATATATGACAGTGATAGGAATATAAATGTGATATAGAAACAAGAAAACAGTAAATCTTGTGTTATTTACTTCACAGGTAATTTAATAGTTGAATAAATGTTTGCCTATTCATACTAGAGCTTTAATGCTGGAGCTCTGGTGATGGTGTTTTCATGCAAAAAAAGAGTAAGTTACCTTTTCTTCCTGGGTATATTTGACATTATTAGCATAATTTAGATCTTTTTTATAACCGTTCTATTAATAGAACTTGACTATTCTCATTTTTCAGAACTATTGGCATTATTTTGCTATTGCATTTTTAACTAAATATGCTCTAATAGCAATTTCTAATAACAATTGATGTGACTCATCTCTTCAGGTCTTGATGAATGGAAAGCTGGCAAAAAAAAATCCTTCTTGCCCATTTTGAGTTTTTTCAGATAGTGTAAGGGTTTTGTGGGGCTGTTAGGCTTTTTCCCCCGTCTATGTAAATAGTTATTTAGATTCTTTTGTCTGCAATTACTTTGGTTTTATATTGCCATATGTCATGTCAACAAGAGATTTGTAAGTGTACACCACTAATTTGATGTAGGATGTATTTTATCTATGTGACACTAATTTTTAATACAGTATTAAATTTTTTCCACAATACAAACTTTTGTATTCTTTATAATTGCACTTTTCTTTTCTCCTTTCCTTTTTTTTTAACCTTAGATTTT